TTCGGTCGCAGCATTTAGCTGGAAAGTGGCTTCTCTGGAGAAGGCGTCCTCGAAGCGCAGTGGCCTCTTCTCTGGTCACATGTCCCCTTAGTCCAGAGATGGCGCTTTACTCGTCTTGGAGTGTATGCAGATCGCTCATCCCTCGGGTGCTGGTACACGGGTGTGTTCCCGCAAGCCCGCTTCCCCACGCATGGTGCCACCAGCTGTTTGGCACTATAGCTCCCATAACCCCTGCCTAACCCCATGCCAGGGCTGGTGGGAGTTGTAGTACAAAGCTTCCAGAGCACTCCATGTTTGGGAAGACTGCTGCCAGAGGTCTTTTAAAAGCGAAGGTCAGACGAAAAGGGGGACATGACCTGTGGGTATCAACACCCACACCTCCCCAGCCTTGGCCGCCTTTGGGGGCTGGGGGTGGGGTTGGCATATGACTGCATGATGCATTTCAGAATTAAGGGTTTCCTTTCTGGAAGAAGATTGCTGTAACTCATCTTCCACAGTACGGAACGTACTCAAAAGCTGAGATTTGGGGAGAGAGCAGGGAAGCCATCACAAAAAATTGAAATAATACGAGGGATTGAAAAGGGTTTTGATTTCTGGCCTTAGAAATATAAAAATAATTTCAAAAGAGGCTAGGAAGAAATGGTTGACGTCTCTGCATTATGTGGCTCCCCTTTAAAGCCTTTCTTTCTAATTGTGGAGAATCACTTTTTCCCCAGCAACATAATGAAACACTATCCTGTAACAAATCATACCATGTCTTTTAAAGAGTGTATTTATTGTCCAGGCTGAATGAGTTTTGAGCTATTAATTGTAATGGAATCCTTTTCTAATCCAAATCCTGCTACAGTTGGATAAAGTAACTTGGTAAAGATTGACATGAATTCCATGTGATTTATACAGCAGCGAACACTGAAATTTTGCTGCACATACATTCATTTTAGGGTGTGTTTTATTTTCCAGCACTGCAGACATCTTGGATTTATAGATCTATTAAGTACAGTGAGTGTAGATATATAGTGGCTGGAGTGATTTTATATTTTTCAACTTGATATGACCCATTAGGACTTGGACATATTGTAAAACTGAGACCCTGATAATTTGGTTTACTGTAATGGTTTATGTTAAACCTTTGACTTTAATGGCTAACTGGAAATAATACCATTTCTGTCTTGGTTGCTGTTAAGAAAGTTGAGGTGCACAGAATGACTTTTGTTGTGTATTTATGATCTCATTGTGGAGCTAAATTTCTCTTTATATTGTAGTCCTGTCCTGTCTTCAGGATTCTAGCTGTATGTGAAAAATCTCATTATAACATCTGCACATATCACACATTACTGAAGGAAAACAACACTGATGAACTCAACAATATTAAAATAACCGAAACTAACCCTGCCCATGTAATTAATTATATTTACATAATTACACTGTTTAACAATCAGTCCAAAAAGCAAGTTCAGAACATCTTTTCAAATTAAGGTTTTAAACACCCCTTCTAGAACAGGGGTGGTCAGAAGGTCAGGATGGATCTACTGGTACAGATCTTGGTATGTTTTGCTGTAGATAGGCATGAGTTTGCATCTTAGTTATTTAATAATAAAAAAGACCCCCGCACTCTAAATTAAGTTGAAGAAGTGTAGCGAAGCTTCCTTCCCAGTACATATGTATAGGCTTGGATGTTTTATATTATTTGAATATTGTATGTTTTTGAGTAAGTTCAAAGCGTTATTTGGAAATCATTTGTACTGAAGAAATTGCAAACTTTGTAAGATGAGGCAGTTCAATACTATGCATATATTTTTGGATACTGCAGCTTATTTTAGCATGCCCAAAGAACTGTATATTAGAGCAAGAGGGGTCCTGGGTTAAGGCATACTTAAGAAAAGAGAGGAACTACAACTTCTTGAAATTTCCTGTTTAGGTAGTGATTGTGTTCATCAATCAATTTTATGGAATGGTACTTTTGGAAATGGAAAATTTTCCACACTGAAAATATGGGTGGAACATTTCTGCTTATGTCATAGTGTATTGGTATAGGAGTAGAAATATGGCTTGCCTGAAGCCAACCTGAATTCAGGGCAGAAGCGTGGTTTGAATTTGGGGCTTCCTATTTCACAGCTCCATCTCTAAGCCACTGCGCTAGGCTAGGTGAGGAGTGCCTCGAGAATCTAAATATAAATTAAGTCCAGCACATGGTTAAACGATGGATTTCAATTTTGCAAGATGCTTGAAGGGCTTTAAAAGGGGATTGGGCAACATGGTGGGTGGCAAGACCATCCGTGGACCTAGCCTGGTGGCCGTGTGCGTGACGTCATGTTCCACTTCTGGGGGACATAAGAGCAACAGCAGTGGGGATCTTCCCACAGGTGCGTGGCTGGCCACCGTGTGAACACACTGCTGGATGAGAGAGGCCTTTGGCCTGATCCAGCATGGCTGTTCCGATGCTGCCCTGGATCCTGTGCTGACGCCACTCAGGACACCCGAATCCTTTGTACCAGGATCCTGGTGGCACGATGATTTTTGTGCACTGAAGAAGGATGGTGTAAATTGGCCACCTGCAGCAGCAGGGGTTGGACCTGCTGCCCTTCTTGGTCCCTTCCATCCCATCTGTTCTGAGATTCTGTGAAAAATATTGTGAGCACTACCAAGAATACTGAAGATTCAAATGGGAGTCCAGAATGGTAGCTGGAGAGTAAAAGATTAATGCAATGCATAAGTAATTGGGAGAATGCGCCGTCCTTTTGAACAGTAATAGACATAACTATAGACCATAAACGCTGAGGACAGAAATGGTCATGATGGAAGATGAAGGACATGTCTCTTTGCTGCAGGGTGGCCTCGGCTACTTCCAGGCTTCACGACTGCACTGTCAGATGCGCATGCCGGTGAATCAGATGCTGCTTCTGTTCACAGTCTTGCCCTTCTGCACAAAATCCTGGCAGGCTGTTATCATTTCCTTTAACAGTTTAAGAAATTCTGCAAATATGCTTATCCACTCAGCATATGTTGGGTCAAACGTTGAAAACCTATGTCTTGTTCCCACCTGTTGAATGCAGAAACAAAATAGATGATTATGCTTCCAGACAAAGGTCTCTGGACCCTTATATCATAATTAATTTGGTATAGTGAAAAAATATTGCGAGTACTAATAGTAATACCAGAGATTCAAATAGGAATCCAGAATGGTAGCTGGGAAATAAAACATTAATACAGTATGATGGAAGCTGTTGACTCCTTAGTATAAGAAAGGAACTAAAACTACCAGAACTGATTCTTTTAGAACTGGCAAACCCAAACCAGACCCTAATCTGCCCCCCCGCCCCGCTTCCTGGTAGTAAAGGTTCTTTTATTTTTTGGCATCTCTTTTGTAAGTGAGGGGGAAGCATGCCCTCCCTTCCTTTCCTTCACAGCTTCTCTCCTCTCTATCACCCAGCCCTCTCATCCTTTCCCCTACTAGCTTTACAGTGGAATCCTATGAATTTTATTTTATTTAAACGCCATTTTAGTTGTTAATATTATGCATTTATTTTACCTTTATGGCCAGGATGTCTCCAATTATATCATATTGTTTTATACTGTTAATATTTATTTATTGTTGTAAGCCGCCCCAAGGCTTCGGCGAATGGGGCGGCATAGAAGCTTTCTAAATAGATAGATAGATAGATAGATAGATAGATAGATAGATAGATAGATAAATAAAATTCTCTCCAAAAGTAAAACCTGTTAGGGTCCACCCCCCGGCCCTCAGCCTGCTGCCAGGCAGGTGGGTGGAGAACAGCAGCGTGAGGCTTGTGTGTGGCCAGGGTCCCTCAGCATCCCTCAAAGACCTCTTTGATCTACTAGGGGCTTCTCTCAGCCCGGTGGGGAGGGATTCTCCGTCCGGCTGCAGCCCTCCTCCTCCTCCTCCTCAGCTCTAGAGGGCTAGGAGACCATAATAGTCTTCCGCCATGTCTTTAACTACAGGCCATGTTAACCAGTGTCCCTCTGAATCAGGTGTGGAAAGTGGGCTTAAAGCTGGCTAGGAGGCAACCACTGATCCCATGAGCCACTCTTGGCGTGCAAATTGATGCAGTGCTGATGAGGGCTGAAGGGGCAGACCAGAACCTGGCAGCAGCGATCCACCCCCTGGCAATCCTTGCTTGGATGATTGCCATGCGCTCTGCGGGGAGCCAGTGCTGCCTTTGAAGATGTTCTGGAAACTTCAGCTGGTTCAAAATGGGGCAGCGAGGCTGCTTCAGGGACTGGCAGATCCGAACATAATATGCCAGTCCTCCGCCAACTTCATCGGTTACTAATTGAAATCAGGGCTCAATTCAGAGTGCTAGCACTAATATTTAAAGCCCTGAACAGCCTGGAGCCTGGGTGTCTGAAGAAATGCCGCCTCCTAGATGAGATCCTGAGGGCATCATATGAAGTCCTTCTCGGAGAGCCTCTTCTTAAGGAAAGAACGAGGGTGGCAGCTAGAGGAAGGGCCTTTTTACTTTGCCACTGATTGTGGAGTCAGGTTTTCACTGAGGTGTGTCTGGTGCACACTCTATTCCTTTCAGCTCCAGGCAAAGCCCTTTTTATCTACCCAGCATTTTAATAGTTAAATGATTTTATTTTTTTAAAACAATTTAACTCTGTTTATGTTGTATTTATTGTTCTACTTCTGTACCTTTGGACTAACTTGAATGTGATCGTTGTTTTTATATTATGTATATTCAATTTTAATGTTACTGATTTTGTAATTTGGTATTTTTGTTTGTGCTTTTTTTTTTGACTCTGTGAGCCTCCCAGAGAGCTATTTTGGGCTTATGGGCAAGTATAGAAAACAAATAAATAAGTAAAACTGTAGTGTCTCTGAGTTCAAAGCTGGACCATGTTGACGGAATCCTTTCTGGGATTTGGAAAACAGCTTGTATGCAAAGACTTCATTGTAGGAGAATTAAGTTTATGAATGAGTTTAGAAATGGTTGCAGAAACTGCTTACGTCCTCATGTTCTTACCTCTTTCTATTTTAGATTTCCATTGTATCCAAAAGGAGGTGAGAGGCTGCAGTTTGATTATGGCGTCTACCTTCTCAACAAAAATATTGCGCAGGTATGTTAACTCTGGGAAAAACCTAACGGAACAACACGAGAAGTGACATCTTTGGGGAATGATCCGGCGCTTGCTCCTTCATCTGTGCTGCATGCATGTGGGGATTCTGTATTAGATGCAGGCAGAAAATACCTGCTCATAAGTGTCGTCTGCATGTCTTGGATGCCTCGGGGATCATGCCTAAGCACCCCAAGGATGTGGGATATCCGTATTTCCGTGGGAGGCTAACAAGCTTCAGACCGCGGACTTGTCTGACTTGTCAAACCGCCATTGACGCCTTCAGGCACAGGTGGGTGACTTGGGACCCTCCAGGGACGTTGAGCTGCTCCTCCCATCAGCTGCAATCGGCAGCCAATGGCGAGAAGCAGAAGGAGCTGCTGGGCAACAGTACCTGGACGGCCACCTGTCCCTCATTCCTGCTTTAAGGTAAATTTCCCGGTGATGCGAATGTTCAGATAGGTATAGGTCATCCTTAGATGGTCCAATCGGCTGTGTGAATGGCTCTTAAGATCAAGTGGGAAAGCCTTCGGATTGGCCCTTTGTGGTGGGAGGCAGGGGGGCAGGAGGGAGGCTTGCTTTATAGCTTATTGCTAATGGCTTCAGCTATTTCATCTCTGCGTGTGCCCCTGCTTTGAAGGGCCCCTCTCTGTGCTCTTTCGAGAAGCCATCACAGCCACGCACACACGTTCTATTACTATTTGGAATGGAAGAGCTGAAAGTTGTGCTAGTTTCAGACTGACTTGGAGGGCAGTACAAGGAATGGCTCCAGAATCTGGAACTGGATTGAGATAAAACCCAGGACTAAAAAGTCGGACTCTTCCAGTGCATGGAGAACTTAAGTGGCGGTGTGTGTTGTAGGGCCTAATCTTTTTCGGACCCGGGACTAGCCTTTAAACCCTTGCTTCTGCCCACGGCCCACTTTTGACCTTCTGTTAGTTAACTGTATTATACATCAGCTTAATTAGGCATGTCCTAGTTGTGGCGCCACTGATACATGTTGACTAGCTGGGGAGGACGCTGGCGGTTGTAGTACAATTTGTGATGAGCATGAGACTGGGGGAGGCTGGCTTATCGCTTCTGATTAAAGAGTACTTGTGTCCCTTACTCAAGGGATGAAAGGATGCAACATGGAGGCCCACTCTGTGCATTCATTCATTCATTCATTCATTCATTCATTCATTCATTCATTCATTCGCCTTCCTCCCACTGTGGGACTCCAGGTGGCTCCATGTGGTTCCCAGGAAGTCTCTCCTCCAAGCTCAGGCCAGCCTCCAACATGGTGGATGCACTGCGTGACTTCAGGCCATATTCTGCGCCTTGGGCACAGAACTGGGTGGCACCCCAAAGTATTTCTGTTTAAAACTCCTCTTGTAGGCTATTGCCAATCTGAAGGGCCTCTTCGCTCTGTTCTCTTTGTCAGTTGAACCAGTTAAATGTCAAGGAGGAATTTTAAGCTGGTGTAAGATGTGTTTCACACTTGTATAGAACCCTTAGAAAGAGCCGTGTAATTTGTCCCCTCAATCTGTAGGAGCCCACCTCTGTCTAGATGTGTCTTGCAAGGCAAGGGGCTCCAAATGAGCTCGGCATTTTGAAAAACTAGAGTGTGTCACTTTTTCATCCTTAGCACTCTCTTGATATGAATTTCTCTGCCAGAAAACTAATAACACATGGAGTATGAGAGTAAGGGTTTTTCCTAGTACATTACTTTAGTGTCTTAACAGTTGTGCCTGTTTTTAATAATCAGGGAGTGGCAACCTTGGTTACACCATGCCGGTTCACGTGGGCTGGTGTTGTCAGGTGTCGGCTTCAATTTCCCTGAATGGCAACAGTCACACGAAAGTGGTTTGCAGGGATGGGCAGGGGAGCCCCCCACGCTGAGGACTCGGTCAACGTTTTGTGATATAAGGATTTCCTTTAAGGGTGGCTCCTCTCCTTCCCACTGCTCTCCAGGTATAAGATAAGCCTTTCCGTTTGTGTGATTTCAGTATTTTTTTTCCCTAGTCCTTGTCGGAATTAATCAGAGCCACTTGTGAATGCCAAACAGACCCATAACACATAATGAAGGCCAGTCAGAGTAATAAATAACGAGAAAAAAAGTTTGCCCAGAAGCCTGTCTAAACATTTCAGCTTGTTTTAATGAATATGAGTAGTGGGTTGATTTATTTATTTATTTTCCGATTTATATCCTGCCTTTTTCCTACAAAGGGCTCAAGGCAGCTTACATCATTCTCCTCCTCCATCTTATCCCCACAACAACAACCCTGTGAGGTAGGTTGGGCTGAGAGTCTGTGACTGGCCCAAAGTCACCCAGTTGGCTCCATGGCCGAGCGGGGACTCAAACCCAGATCCTCCGAGTCCCAGTCCCATGCTCTTAACCACTACACCACCCACAGACTTTGGGCCACTGCTGTCAAGGCCCTTCTGAGCCATGCCGATACTGTTTAGCAGGAAATAGAAATGCAGAACAGAGTCTCTTCACTCCATGCTTCTTCACTGAGCTCCTCCCTGATCTGGAAATTGCGTAGGCGCTTGGCAAGAGGGGCATTCGCAAAGGCAGCCTTCGCAAAGCTGGTGCCTTTGAGAGCTCTTGATTGCAGTTCCCAGCACTCTTGACCATTGACTGTATGGGCTGAAGACCCCCGGCTGAGGAGGGCTGCCCTAAGTTACCCTGGCATGGAGCCTTTAATGCCACCTGGAAGTGTTGGACTGGGACTCTGGAGATACGGGTCCCTGCTCAGCCATGGAGCTCCATGGGTGCCTTTCGGCCAGTCATCTACTTTCTGCTTAACCTACTTCACATGGTGGTTGTTGTGAGGGTGAAATGAAGAAGAGGAGAACCTTTAAGCCACCTCGGGTTCCTTGCAAGAGAAAGAAAGGCAGGGTGTAAATATTTCTTGTATCAGTCAAATGCCCCAGGCATCTGGCTCTCTCTTCAGGTCAAAATCCTTCAGAAATGGGCAGTGTTTCTGAGCTAGTCCACAGGAGTGATGTCTAATCCCTCACCTCTGCCTATGGCCCACTTTTGACTTATTATTGTAAGCCTTCCCAAGACATCTGTAGGGGATGGGATAGAAAAACTTTTAACAGATAGATAAAATCCGTGATGATCAATTAATTCATTACTAAATTAAATTTGATTTAAATTTCATTTGCGCTGTTTGACAGCAATGTGTAAATAAGTAAAATCAATGGTTAAACCCTAATGATCAGGTTTTCACCCCCATGATATGACGTATGGCACTCCTGTGGAAAGGCCCATGTGGAAGTTGACCATGTGAGAATTCAGCACACACCCTGTTGTGGCCATCGCTCTTTCAGCAAGTCTGTCTCTCAGGGGGCAAAAATTTGGAATTGCCAGAACTGAACACACATTTAACCTACTCCCAGCATAACTTGCCGTAAGAGGACTTTTCAGAATCAACTGCCTGAATGTCTTCTGATGAGCGTATTATACCATAAAGTATCTGATTTGGTTGTTTATGGAGAAGTTGTTGGTGGGAAAGGGGGTGCTGGAAAATGCTGTGAAAGCAGTTGATCCAAACCGCAGTGGATGGGAGGCTTGCTGTTTGGTGTTGGGCAGAATCTGTGAATGGATGCCAGTTTCAGATTCTGAGTGAGCTCTTGCAGCTTAGGCAGAGCTTTGGAGGCTACCAGATGAAGTAAATGATCAAGAAAACTTTCTCTTACTCCTCCCCCGATCAGATTGTCCATTCCTTTGCCTCCTGGGTCAGTTCAGGATCTTTAGTTTGGCATTGCACCTGAATAAACCCACACTTGTCTGAATTTGTTAATATTTTAGACTATTTGGGCACTAGCTCTGAATTTCAGACTTCAGATTTTGGAATATTTTCTTTGCATTTATATTTAATATTCAAATCTCAGATTCAGGCTAGAGATCAGAGAAAGCTTCCTCACTGAGCAATACAACAACTGCCTGGAGAGGTAGTGGGCTCTCCCACACAGGAGACATCCAAAAAGAACCTGGGCAGCCCTCTCAGTGGGATGTTGTGACTTGGTGTCCTGCAACAGCAGGGGGTTGGACCCAATGGCCTTCTTGGCCCCGTCTGTCTCTATGATTCTTCATGGAAGCAACACATTTAAATTCAGAGTCCTTCATGGGGGTTGTGAACTTTCAGCCCTTGAACAAAAAAGGGTGAAACCCTGCTTGATATAATTTTTAGATTAGTGTGTAATGTTGCCTCCCAGTGAGGTCATACAAAGGGAATACACCCATATCCTGAAATCTGATCAACGTTGCTTCATGGCACTGAAGAGTTTAAATAAATATGAAGGCATAAACTTGGAGAGATACCAGGTATAATGGAGGACTGTGGTCTGGCTGTAAAAAGAGGTAAATGTAGATAATGTGGCTTCGTCTGTTTGGATTTGGAGTCTTTAATGACTGCATTGTCTTCTCAGTTGCCCTCTCCCAAAATCTCCTGTTGTGTAAGATAGTTGGAAAGGCTCACAATAGCGAGAGATCTAGTGATGCTAGATAGGGAAGGGAGGCTGACAGCCACACAACATGGCTTCCGCAAAAACAGCTCCTGCCAGACAAACCTTGTGGGATTCTATGACAAGGTTTCAAGATGGCTAGATGGAGGGGATGCAGTGGATGTGGTTTACCTGGATTTCAGCAAGGCCTTTGACAAAGTGCCCCATGATATCCTGGTGGAGAAACTGAAGAGTTTTGGGATACACCAAAGCACTGTCCGGTGGATTAGGGCATGGTTGACTGACCGAAAGCAGAGTGTAACCATTAGTGGGGAATCATCGGGATGGCGGCCAGTGGCAAGTGGGGTCCCCCAGGGCTCTGTCCTGGGGCCGATCCTGTTTAATCTTTTCATTAACGACATGGAAGAAGGGGTGAACAGTCTGCTGATCAAATTCGCAGACGACACTAAAACTGGAGCAGTGGCCACAACTGAGGAGCAGGTACTCCAGTTCCAAAAGGATCTGGGCAGACTATGAAAGTGGGCAGGAGACAACAGGATGGCGTT